AAAGCTTTCTGGAAGTTATCTGGTTGAATTAAGAAGCTGATCATTCTTAAAATAGATCCACCTAAAAAAGAGATAGAACTTGCTATTGAAAAGCGTTTCAAAGAATTTAAAAAAATAAACCAAACTAATATTAAAATAGGAAGCAAAAGGCACAAAGTTTTTGGAGATTGCAATAGCATTTGCGGAAAGTGTCCTTAAGAACTGTGAGGACGCGGCGCTTCGGGCACCTCAGTCACGACTATCGATTCCGAGGGAATTAACTGCACGGCCACTCTGCTTTGGCCTCGACTTTTAGGCACTTCTCGCTCGGACAAAAGATATGCTTAATTAGGTCTGTATATTAGAATATTCTTATTTTATATTGATTCAGCTCGCGGGTACGTCAACTACGATGGTCCCTTTCCTCATGAATGTGAAACGTTTTATTGCGCGCGAGGTGGCGGTGATTCCTTCACCGCTAGATGATGAGATTCGGCGCCGACATACACGTCAAAGATTTCCCTCTTTCATAAAAAGTATTTCCCTTTTATGAAATTAAAGATTTAATAAGATTTCAATCTATTAAATATATTAAATCTATTAAAGATTTCCCCCCTGAAAGATTTCCCTCCCCCAGCAGGGTACTTTTCCAGCCGGGTCAAGCTCTAATCTAGTGTCTGTTCTCCCGTCACATGAGCTAGTGTAGTGGGTTCAAGTAAGGGTGTGTGTGTGTAACGGCGAAGTAGTGGACAAAGAAAGATCGCGCAAGGTGCATGACCCGTTTGCGGAGGGCCCTGCTTCAGCATTAGCTTGGCATTGATCAAAGAATCTCTGGAAAACTACCAATCAGAGAAGCTGTCCGCTACAATTCTCTTCCAGAGTGCTGACTCTTGAACTGAATTCAACCGGTTGATTATGTTAGAATTTTCACTCTACAAGAGTTGTTCCTGAAATTATGGTAATGTTTGTAAATAATTTTTGTGAATCTGACCATCAACAAAGCTCGCAAGAAAGGAAGCTTAATTAGTCGATACGTGCGATGCTCTCGATTTATTTGTAACAGATGTGAAGTACTGTATTACTAAAACCTATAGCTTCCTTTAAGTATATCCTGAATATCTTTCTTCGTGAAGTAAATGGGATGTTGGCACATAGGCAGTCAAATAAATTCAAATGTGGCGCCGTAATTCGAATACAATCATTTATAACCATTATTTGGGGAGAATACTAGCTAAGATCATGCATTTCAAAAGCCGCGCGCTCCAGATTTAATTTTCCCTAAAAACCGCCAACTAGCTTTGCAGAGAGAAAATAATTCATTTTGCGTATAAAAACTCTTTGCAGTGGCCGCTTCCAAAGATGACCGGGAGAACGCGCCACATGCTGGGCGGGGGCGTAGAGAGCACAATCAACGTTGTGCATTGCAGAAATTTCTAAGAAAATTGTCTTCTCCCCTCTAAGACGCGAGGGGATTTTTTTTTTTGAAAATCAAAAGTCTGGTGGTGGGTCGCCTTCGTACGCCTTTCTTCGGAGGGGAAGTAAAGCCGGCTGTCCCATGTTAGTAGATTTACTTGTATGTAAAAGATCCTCAAGCCTAAATGACGCCTCTGAGCTAAATTCAAATCGCCAGTTTCTCGCCCAAGAAATACCTCCTTTCTCTGCTAGTTGGTGAAAGGAGCGTAACGAAAATTGAGTGGTCAAACGGAAGAGCGGGCCTGATGGCCCGAGTCCCGTCACGTAAAACAAGACATTAATTCAATTCAATTCAATTCAATTTGTCTCGCTAGTGTAGTATGAACAATAAGTAATACGTGCGTATCGACTGTAACGCAGTCAAAGTTTGATTCCTCACGTAAAGATGGTATCCATGAATCATTCCAGAACTTGGCGCGAGAACGCCATGTGAATTTCAGTACACAGGAGAATAACGAAACACTATTACAAAGGAAAAGTATTTTCTTTTGCTTAAACACAAGTACGAGATACAATTTCTTCAATATTCAATTTGGAAAGCAGATTCTAAACCCGAAAAGGCGCTGTCTTAATACTTGTTTTTAGAATCTTCCCTTATGACCAGAGCTCAGAAAGTCGCGTGGCAGTTTCCCTTGCTACAGTTTTTTCAAACGCTCTCCCAACATTTTGCAGCCTCAACAGGAGGGAATGAGGGAAAATGCAATCAAATAATTCATTTAAGAAATTAAAAATTTTATTTAAATTTGAGCATTTACCACAGAAATAACGAGACGTATTGAGCTCTGTTGTTTCAAAACAGTAAATACGAAATTGGAGCAGATATTGAGATAATGTTTACGTGAATGTAGAAAATATAACCAAAAACAGCGAGAAAACCACAAATATTTCAAAAGTATGCAAAAGAAAATATTTAAGGAAGTAATATTTTAGAAAAGATTGCATTAAGACGAAAATTTGATGCCAGGAAAACCCGAAAAGTAGAAGATTTATTTTAAGAATGCAGGGCCTCAAAATGGTTTATCTCTTTTGGGGATCATCCCGTGCACCGTTTAGGCGATAATCTTGTTCCCAGACTAACTGACGGGGAAAGAGGTAGAGTGAACAGTTTTCGTTATCAGGAATCTTCAAAACGTATGTGTATTTTTCAAATTCTCTACGACTGTTTGTTTTTTAGCATTACATAATTTTCTCTGTATATTAATGTCTGTAGGTTATTCGAGAGCGTGATTAATTATTATTATTACCATTATTATTAATGTAAATTGTACAGCATTGAAAGCATAGAAATTTTAGAAACATTCTAAAGAAAATTCGAGAACGCAAAAACATCATAGGCCGACACAATGAAAGATCTTGTAGCTTGAGAAAAATACTAATTATTCGATGATGAAATGGCCTTGTCCTGAGGATTGATATTTGACAAATGTGTCATTCAAGAACTCGCTTTTTCTAACCGTGAAAATCGGACCTATGCCACCTTTATAAGTCTTCGTTACTCTATTCTTTCAAGAAATTTAAAGAACAAAATTGGAGCCGTCTTTGAGAAAATTTTGAAATGTCCGGGGGACTCTTCTACTTTTAGGGTTTTCCTGGCATCAAATTTTCGTCTTAATGCAATCTTTTCTAAAATATTACTTCCTTAAATATTTTCTTTTGCATACTTTTGAAATATATTACTCCGTATATACGTACGTATACGGGAAAGTAGAAATATATGTAACGATAATAAGGGCAGTTATGACTTATGGAGCAGAGACGCAGGCAGATACTAGAGGAACCAAAACTTCGCTGAGAACTTCACAGGTAAATACTTTAAGAGCAATAACAAGAAAAACAAAATGGGATAGAATACATAATCAAGATATACGGAATGAGTGAGGTGCGACGGACTTTGTTCAATTCATAAGAACAAGAAAAAGCCGGAATGAACACGTTTCCAGGGCAGATAATAGGCTGATCAGAATAGCACGATATTTAAGGCTCTTAGGTTAGAGGGATCCAGGAAGACCAAAGAAAAGATGGATCGAAAGCTGACCACCAACATCCCCCGACTCATCATGAAGGTGATGTGTGAGAATAAAAGGTTCCGTCTACATCGAAGAAAAAAAAGAACCATAAAGAAAAATGTTAAAAAGAAGAGGCGCGGTTCATTGTTCAAAATGGTCGTGCATACACAGAAATATAGACTTCTTTTAGACAATTGTGAAGAAAACTGTGTCAAGTTCTTACTATTGAATGAAACTCCATTCCGAAGATTCTTTTAGGAGATGAAATATAAAATACTGGATCAAATATGTTTGTTAATCACTTTGTTTTCGTAAGGTTTGGTTGAAGCTGCTGATGCTCCAGTACGTGAACTGACACTTTGGGAGTCCCTGAACATAGATATGAATTTGAACATGACAAAGACGACATCAAAATCCTGTAGGCATTTGTTATAACTTCCAGAATAAGCTGCATTTTCCTTATTTTCAAAAACGAAAAGTGTCGAAATAAAAATCTCTGACTAAGATTGCATCTGAATTAATGATACACTGAGGTAACGAAAAATTAATTCCTACTGGGGTCACCGATTTCGATTTTGAATGAAACCACCAAAGCTTCAACTAGTTGGCCCAAAAGTCATCGATGATTTTGTAACAGTCGCATAACAATGCATTCCAGAACCCAGACAACAACAATGGAGATGAGACTACCAAGAACCTCAGAATAAATTACAATACAATTGAAGAAAGATGTACAGTTCATAATAACTAATGATACACGTTTTAAGCAATTCATTACAATAATTTTGGAAAGTTTGTCTTAAATATCTTTGAATTTTGATGCATATGCTTATAATCCTTTTTGCGGGGACATAGACGGCCACCTACTATTTTGTGAAGAACTGACTCAATTATCGCTGCATTAATACAGATACCTGTTTATGAGTAGATCTGGCTGTGAGAGAACCCATGAGACAACACACTACATTACATTCAACATTACGCATGGCGACAGCTTCGATTTTTTCTATACATACGATTAGAAGACAAAACCTTCCCTAAGGGTTTCGAAAGATACTAAACGATGAAACGATAACTTCTGTAAATTGTAGCATTATGACGCTTTTTCTCAAGGAATCTTACAAAGACTATTGGATGCAGAATTGGATCCTCATGAAGTTAGTGGACGAGATGAATTTTGTAGTTCTGCATATCAGTATGCACCAGAAGGTTCTAAGGAAAGTTCACAATAACGGTCATATTGGTACAAAGAAGATGCAAGAGCTGACTAACATATTCCCATATTGTGGAAGAAACTAGATGGTCTGCTGAGTGTTGTATATTTGTGTATCATGGCACAAAAGAAGAAGGGGAAGAAAGAAGGTTTACTTCAACAAATACCAAAGGATTACATTCCGTTACACTAATATCATGTGGACCACATGAGGCCCATTACGAGAACATGAAATTTTTACAAATATTTGTTGTTGCTTAGGGTTTTTTGAAATTTACTTGGATTTTCCTACAAAAACAACCAACACAAATGAAGTAATAAGCAAGCTGGGAATTATATAGTCATCGTTTGGTATAGACAGTGTATATACTCACAGAATAATCAGTGACCGAAGAACAGCTTTCACTTCTGAAGCATTTCAGAAGTACTGCACAAATGAAGGAATTGAACACGTTTATATTACAACTGGAGTGACACGTGGTAATGGACAGGTGGAGAGAAACAAGGGTATAATTATACCAGCATTGACCAAGCTCCCTCAAGATAAACCCAAACATTGGTACCGACACACAAATGATGACGTCGGGATGAGACATCGAGAGAATGTAGCCGTTTTACAAGTTTTGGAGCAAGACAGTCCAGCCGTTTGATCGTGAGAGATATCTTCTAAAGGTAGTGAAAGTATCCATCCTCAAGATCCAGGAAAAAAACGGAGATACCATAACAAACAATCGAAAACAACCCGTAATGACCAAGTATGCGATATGGTGGCGATCAAGATGACCCAAGTATAAAGATAAAACAAACAAAATACAACGAATAAAATGTCTAGGGATCTACAAGATCTGTCGGTGAAAGGTAACGACCGATATGCGGTGATTCGAGGAGCGAACTTCGATAGAGGCCAGATTAAAAAATGAGCAGCTGCCTACAAGAAGCAGTACGTTTTCCATTCAGAAACCGAAGGCTATTGAGGATGGCCGAGTGTGGGATTTGACATTTGACTAGCGGTATGCAGGGCTACGGCGGCGCCGCGTGGTGGAAGAGGCAGAAGTATGGTTGCTACAGAAAATAGTATAATAGTCCGATGTATTAAAGTGTTGACGTGTGTATGTTTCGGTGATTAATTCACCGTTCGTTATTGCAATTCGTGTATATATATATATATATATATATATATATATATGTGTGTGTGTGTGTGTGTGTGTGCCATATGTGTGAGTGTGTGTGGAAGAGACACATTTCAAAGAACCTGATATGACAATGTCTCTGCCTAGGAACAGGGAGTTCTTAGATTCGAATCAGACCGGTGTGGGGCAGGATTTTCGACTCTAGCTTGTAAGCTAGGTCGAAGTCAGTCGCAGACTAGAGGAAAGTCCTAGCGGCCGGCTTCTATGATCGGTAGTTTTCGTGATTTCTCTCATTAAAACCTGACGAATGTGCCGAAACAAACGGGTTAAGGACCGTGCACGACCATTTCTTCTTTTTCTTTGTCCTATTCTCACCTCTTACTTACACACACCTGGTAGTTTCTTTCAGGAACAACATAAGTCAGTGAAAAGTCACTTTTCAGTTTCGACAAGCAAAACATCACCTGCCACTTCATATCACAAACAGTGAGTCACGTGTCTGGTAGGTCTGTTCCAAAATCCTCCAGAACCGATTTACTTGTGTTAGATCTACCTCAAAGAAAGCCTATACGTAGAGAGATTGTGACTGCACTGCACTTAAGAAGTGAAAGCAGCAAAAAATTAACTGACGATGTTAAAGAAATAAACTATTTATTTATAACATTTATTTGAACTGCACTTCTACCCATCCGTGAGACCAGTAGAGAGTTTAGACCTAGTTCCGGCTGGTGCGATGCCCTGCTGGAGGGAGATTCCTTGTTGGGGAAATCCCGCGGGATTCGGCGCCGGATCTCACTATCCAGTGGGGGAAGATCGCAGCCAAGTCCTTCAATACAACATGCACTACACTTACGGGACTAATAACCTTTGTCCTTGAGCCGCCGTAAAAGACTAATTAATCCATTAATCATACTGACGTTAAAGCCACTTAATAATTTGCGGAGAAGTCATATCACTACGTCTGTTTTTACTTCAATTACGCAGAAGTGACTGTACCTTTGCTGTACGTAACGGTGCCGAAACTCGCACTGGCTTCCGCGGAGTGCTGACTTGATTGGGTGAGCGCGTTGGCCGTCTGGCACCGATCGAGGGCGAACACCATCGGGTGCTGTCCACCACGAACTGGGTCCCACATGCGCCAGTCCTCCGTCTCCACCTTGCTCGGTCGACTAGTACTGTGAAGTAGCGCTGCGAAGCCCTCGTGAGCCACGTGGCGCCCCACCAGTGCGTGGTGACGAGGTTGCCGAACCACATGTGCAGCAGCTCGTGGGCCTATTGGTGACAAGCTTACGCTTCGGCGAGACGTCGCCGGCCCATTGCTCGGAATCGTGGAGCAGAGCTGTTTCGCCGGTACGTGATGAGCCCCCAGTTCTCCTGCGCCCGCAGAGAAGTCCGAACGCGCCACCTGCAACAGCGCCAGAACAAATCAACCTTTGTTTTTCTACAAATTGTAAAATCTCGAAAACATGCCCTTCCAATGAAGAACATGAGAGTGGTTTTGAATTACTTTGTGTAATTAAGAGTACTTTGTTAATCGATAAACCCAGTTTACTGATTGCAAAGTAGCGATCGTTAAATTACGTGGGTCTCACTTTTTGTTATTAAAGTCGGAAAGTTTTCCTGGTGAAGCAATCGTTTTGTAATGATTTTAAAAATGTTCTCTTCCAAATTTGGAAAAGTAATGCTAAAAACCTTTTTTTGAGAAAAGTTATTTCTTCTAGTTGCATTATTTCAATAGAATTATAACGAGAAACTTATTATTTTTTTCCAAAAAAAAATTGGAACACTCCTTTTTAAATAGCTAATTTCTCAGAAGAGATTCATTAATTTAATTTAATTTCTGTAAACGGAAATCATTTACTACACTTCGGTAATAAAATCTATGTCAGAATTTCGTTGACCAGAACTTTGATAGGTTAAAATTGTGTAAAAAATTGTCATCTTACGGCATTTACTACTAGAATACTATGGCAAATGGCCCACCCAAGTCTCTCGTTTCAGATGAGGTGAACGGTAGTTTACCAGTAATTTATGCCTGCCCCTAAAAGTACATACCTGGTTCACTTTGTCGATTGGAGGACTGCTCCGTCGTCTATGTAAGAATTCCCTGTGGAAACCTTCTAATACTTTGAGCATAGGCCGCGATAACCTTCCAGCTGTAGGCTGTTCTCTCGCTGACGCCTGGCCGACTCCACGTCTTGAAAGTTACTTCCCCCGGGGTTCCCATGTCCTTATCGGCTGGCTCGACAAAGTCCGAAACAATGAAAGCAACCAAATACGACGACATTTTTCACAGAGTTGGTGAAAAATTGTATTTAACGCTGTTACTAGATCTTGCAATCAAACAAAAAAGTTTCTAAGAACATCAAAAAGGGTCATTTTACATTTTATTCAATTTTTCTAAAATTATTTCTTCGCTAAATAATATACGAAGTCAACACGTTTTAAATTTGAAATATATGGTAGCAATATATAATGATCAGTAATGGCGCAGAAAAATTGAAAAATAAAACATAGCTGTTCAGTTACAAAAGCATACTCCCAAAAGTGTTTTGAACTTGACGGGTCATTAGGGAGGGATCTGTGGCAGCGCGGCTGGCCATGACCACTTACAGCGTCTGCCTGCCTTCTCGGGCATGTTGCTGAGGCGTGTATACATCGGAGCAATATATAATAATTTAGTAATGCTCTAGAAGTCATAGGAGGCGGATGTTGTGCGAGGCGAGATGGCTTTGGCCACTTACAGTGTCTGCCTGTCCTTCTCGGGCATGTTGCTGAGGGCGTGGTATACATGGAGCAATATAATGATTTAATAATGGTCTAGAAGTCATTAGGGGGGATGTTGTTGGAGGCGGGATGCTTTGCGCCCACTTACAGTGTCTGCCTGTCCTTCTCGGGCATGTTGCCTGAGGGCGAGGTAGCCGGGCGGGCAGTGACGGAGATCTGGAAGCGCGCCTTGAAGCTGGGCTTCGCGAAGCAGGGAAGGCTTTGCGCGCGTGCGTCGCCTGGAACTGCGTCGCCGCCAACTTCCTGCGCAACAACGAACGACACGATTTTATGAACAAGACATACTCTTTAACATATTTTGTATCAGATCACAAATACATCTCTTTAATCTCTGCGATGTGCTGATGAGTACTCAACGTTTGCTGACAGCACTATTACAGCATTAATATTTGTTAGCATCTACATTTGTTGGATAAATTGTTAAGTTGTTCTTCTGACTGTTATTGACATGGATGAAATGAATTTATGGACGTTAATATAAATTACACTAAAACACTTTTAGGGTACCTCTGCTTGCGTGTATTTATGGTGTAAAATAGATTTGTGCGTTATTTATCAACATACATGTAATTGTCTCCACGGTGCATCAACTACAATAGTCGTTTGAAAGTCACAGGAAGGCAAAATAAATTTTGTCCTCTGAAAGGTTGTTTTCACGAGTTTTTGATCAACGTATTGCAGACGTGAAAGACATTAACTAGTAAAGAAGTTATATAACTACGCAGTAAGTTGACTAATTATATCTGCACTATTATTGGAAACCACCGGACGCGCCAGCAAAGCACTGGAGCGGACTGAGGGGCTCCAAAAAAAAAAAAAACCGCCCCCCCGGCCCCGCTTCGCCGGCGCGCCGTCGCTACCTCTGTCGGAGCGCTTAGTGTCGCAGGCATTCCACACCCTTCCTCTCCCCCCTGCCACGCCTCTTCAGCACCACACCATGGCAGTGCACTTTCCTACTGGCGGCTGCCTTCTCTCGTGCATACCAACATATTTTTTGTTGATACATCAGGCATTGGTACCACTGCGGGAAACTCTCCTGGCGCTGTTAATAACCGTCAGAAGATCGTACATTTTTGTTCTTTAATTCCGAATGTAAAGTGAAGAAATGAGTAAGACAGATAAACTATAAATAATAGTAATAAAGAAATTACTTGGATTAAAAACTTCTTTAAATATCAATTCTCATGGGAAAATTTAGAATTAAATTTGAAATTACAAATTGCTGACACGATTCTTTTAATAAAGATGTTTGTGAAGCAATATCTCTTAGTAGATTTATTGAACATAATTAACGTGGGATTATTCATCACAATTGTTTGTAGCTCATAATATGATTTCTATTGCTTAGGAAATCTCACATTTGGTTAGCTGCGACAGGTTTGCATACTTAAGAGTTGAAACGTTCTTTCAACCAATTTGTTAAGCCGAGTATGAAGAACGTACCTGGGGCCATCTGTAAAGGTGCTAACGTAAGAAAGCCATACATGTCATGCTAGTGCCCGCCCGTGGTACTAATTGCGATGTGTACTTCCTCGTTGGGACGAGGGCCTCCCTGAACAAAGCAGCTCTTGCACCTGCTCATAGGCTGCTAGAAACTGCGCGCTCTCGAACACGTCGGCGTCGTTGGCGGCGCGAAAGATCCGTGACCGAGACGGCGTCGAAGTCCGAGTCCCACTGCGTGCCAACGTTGACGCTGTCCACGCCTCCTCCGCCCCACTTCAATGGCCACTGTAGTCCTCAAACTACTTCGCGGTCTAGTTGGGCTCGAGCTCCAAGTGTGTTACTTGCAGCGGCCGCACGGAAGCGCTCCACGGGTGGGGTCGGCGGCGCTGCGCGCGCTGGGGGCGCCGGCGGCCACGGGGGCGGGTGCCCCTGGCGGGGGGCGGCGCCCGTTACTGGCCATCGCACGAAGGAGCGCCACGGCGAGGGGGAGGCAGCGGCGCCATATCTGCGACGGACAGCCGCTGGGGCGGTGCCTCGCGCTGTATTTATATCAATGAGTAATAAACTGTCATTGCCTATCAGGACTAGTTTGTATACGATATGGCAATTGAATCTGAGGGAATTTATGAGAGAAGTCTTTACAGCCTTAATTTATTGAGAAATTGCTTTCTGCATTGTGAAAACTAAGTTTTCACCTTTACGATTCATTTATATACATCTACTGTTAAGATTCTGTCTCGTTAAAATGTAATCCCTTAATACCAATTTTAATTCCTGACCTATCGTTTGCAATTATCAAATGAGGATTATTATTTTATTTGGTGTATATTGTGTATATTTGCTTCTTATGCCGTGACTGGTACATTTTAGCTGAATGAATAATGTCAGTAACTTCCTCCTTTTTGTCTTCACAATTGAAAGATTCGAATACGACGATTGCGCAGTCGATGGTAGAGAATGAGTACGTGCAAAATGTTGATTTTCTTACTTTTTTAATAGAAAGATGTAGTATAAATTTATTATGGAAGAAGAAAATGTTTTTTTTATTATTGACATATTGGAATGTATTCAGAGGATAACTTCAAATATGTGTTAAAAATTTAAAGAGAGTAGTTTTTAAAAGTAACAGCAATAGGGAAGTGTCTGATTGCTGTGTTTTGTTATTTTAGAATATTGATTAGGCCAATGTCCATGGATCTACGAATGCTTGAAAAGGGAGAGACATTATGCACGTGAAGAAACAACTTGTTATGTGACACTTACTGTTGTATGGAATGTGTGGGGTAACCGAAAATTGCATTCCACAGGTAAATAATCAATGCATAAGCTTTTGTAGTCTCTAGTGACTTGAAGTTCTTTGAGAAATTTGTGAATCTTTCTTGCAGACTATTTTGCATAAAATTATAGAAGCTTTTAATAGGCCGGTTCTCCCGATGTGTCACCCTGCAATTATTTATTTATTTATTTTTGGATTTTGTTAAAAGACCGAATAAAAAATATCAACCCTCGCACAACAACGAAATTTTAGAAACTTACAATATAAAAATATACTTCTAACTTAGGTAAGAATATATTTAAAAATGAGTAAGAGAATCCTTTCTCGGGGGAAAAAGTGCAAACAAGTAAGGAGAGCATGTTAACGTTGTGAGTTGTGAGAAAACGTTCTTTGCGTCCCAAGGAGGTGCCTCGTCACGTGATCTGTTCTGCGAATAGAATCTACCACCCAAGAGCCCGAAGATCCACGACCTTACTGTTGTTCAGGAGATTGCCTGCATTATGAATCTAAGTGCAGTGTGAAATTTTGAAAACAGTGTTTTGCTAAGGAGAGTACTGCTGTTAAGTTCGTTCATTTTTAATTCACATATGAATAATTTCAATATTATTGCTTTAATCTGTCCATGTCATCGGATTATACCGAGGCGGAGCTTAAATACATAGTATCTAATCTGAATTGGTATCTGAATTAGTTTCAGAGATGTTGAAATTCATTTATCGGTTTCTTATAATTTATTATTAGTTTAATTTATCGTAAATCATGATTACGGAGTCAATCTGAAGTGTAAATGGTAGTGTCATATGACGATTATTATTATTGAAAATTAATGTTGCACCATGTTATGAAAAGTGCAAAGAAGAAACAGGGCAGACCATAAAATACAAGGATTCAGCGTTCTTCTCTTCCCCTTACATATTCTCTCCCGCCGAGATCGCCTTCGAACCCCGCTTGGGCGTGGATGTTCACCCTTATGACATAGCACGGAGGATTCTCGAAGCCCATTCACACTTATCCAATACTTCAATACTTCATGATCTGCTTGAGTATTCTGGCCTGTCTGACCTTGCTGACAAAGTAGGGTCGAAAATCCTTCCACTGTCGGGACTCGAACCTAGGATCTCTCGGTCAGAGGGACTGCACGGGCATCAGTTGATGTCCTAAACCATCTCTGCCGGTCCGAAGCCGACAGGCGCGGACATGGTACAGCCAGAAACACTATAAGGGCCCGTGAACCACATCAGGTGATGGAAAGGGAACTTACCATGGTGTCCGTGCCGGGAACATGAGGGAGCGATAGAGGAGAGCGTGGCTTCGACAGCACCTTACTTAACTAAAAACTTGCAAGAGGAAAGGTTAACTTACATATGATTTTAAAATTTGCCGGAGAACGGCGTTATGTGATTGCGCGACCCCATAACACCACTGTCTCATGTATGAACACTACGGAGGCAGCGAGGATAACAGACGCGTAAGGCAGAGGTACTTAAACGCGCGGCCTGGTATCCGTTGCCCGTACCTAAACGAATGCGAACTAGCGAGCTAGTGTTTTTCTTTGTGAAGGGTTGAGAGAGGGAGCAAACCCCCCCCTCATCACGGAGAATTCCCCCAGGCCGCCCGCCATAAATACGCGAAACCCCAAGCGCGAAGCTCTCTTTTCTTGCCACACGGCGCACGATAAGCAGCTTCGTTACACGAATAGCCCGAAGTCAACACTTTCGTTAAACATATAGTATAGATATTGTTTCCCGCATGCCAACGACTACTAGTAGGAGTATTCGGACGTCGAAACAGAACGCTTCTAGTTAGTCGTCCCGACGATAGTTGCAGATTAGAGTAGTTTCTTCAATTAACCAAACACGGAGGAAAGTCGCCCGTTGTGAAGGAAACATTAAAAAGTTCGGCTTGTAAAAGTAGAATAGCAACGAGCGAGAACTTGCACGGGGTATTCAGTAAGTGCAACGGACATTTTTCGCAACGTGGGCGTAGTCAGAGGCGCCGGTAGCAGACGAGGAAGAAGAAGAGGCGAGGACTTGGCGCACGAGGAAGAAGACGGATCGACAACGAAGAAGAACGGAAAGGGACGCAAGAAGGCAACGCAGACGGCAGAGGCGAATCCCGTCTCTCTTACAACGCAGAGGTTGGACGAGCGCTCACCGCAGCGACCAGCGCACGACCATCAAGGCCAAAAGTGGGAAGTCCACGAGGTAACAGTTAAGAACCCGCAGAAAATAGGTCAAGTCACGTCGCAGGGAAAACTAGTATAGGAAAGTGTCCAGAATTTGAAGGACACGGGGGCACAAAATTACAGTATTATACGTAGGAGACGTTTTTGATGCGCTATTGCCTGCCTAAAACATCTACTTAGGAATTTATTATTTTCCTATTTTCAGACACAGTTAATTGTAAATTAGAGTAGTGCACTTGCACACATTTGTTCGTTACATGTAATATCTAGAAGCGAGAATTGTAAATTGAATTTTTTATTTCACGTGCAATGTACTTAGAATAGCACAAATTTAGATATAATTAATTTTCCAAAGGGAATTCCCAGTGTAGTTTAGGGTAATTATTCAGAGTATCAATCTTCAAGTAAATTTGTTCATTCATATGGATGTGTGTTGTAAAGGTTTCTACCTGTGTTTTGATTATTCTTTTGTAAAAGTGTGATTCCATATTTCTTGGTTTTGTCATCAAACTAATGCCACTAAAAAGTTATGGTAAATTATACCGTCTAGTGTTGCAATCTGTGTGATTTTATTCGTCACCGGTTGTTCAACCTTTTCGCAACCCTGGAAGATCCTGCTCCCTGATTTTTTTAAAAGCTCGCTTCAAGCAAAAATTTGATAACCGTTAGGTTCATGCCTGTACTTGAAGTGGTAGTTGTGGGTGGGGCGTGTAGTTATATATATATATATATATATATATATATATATATATATATATATATGATACGAGTGAGATATTATACAATGGTTTACTCTTTCCCTCGCATATTAGGTACATGATATTATATTCTCGCAATTTTTGTCAGCCTACGTTAAATTTTACGTTTTATCCTTACTTGTGTACAATACGAAATTATAGTTTTATTTTGTTACAGCATGAGGCATCTTTAACTTTGCGCTTAAATTATGCTGAAACGTTTTTCTTTAAGAAATTTGAATTGTTTTTTTAGAGCCTTTTTTGTAAAAATACACAGATTTTGGACTGAATACATACAAAATGAGTAATACATTAAAATTGGTGTATTGGTATTTAATACATTAAAAAACAAATTTGCATTGCTTTGGTTTTGGAAATATACAGTCGTTATAAGGAAGGGGAAAAAGCATCAGTAAATTCCAATGCCAAACACCAATGACTATAAAACACAATGGGGTGGTAAGTGTAATATTACTATCATGTCCATGCCTAAATACTGTCTTTAGAAGATGTATTCCATGTTTTTGAAAAGTCTGTCTTTGGACCTTGTTTATTGTTATAGCAAACGTTAAACTTACAGAGAACTGTAATCGCGCCATGGAGAAGGGCATATTTGGGTCAGTTGAATTCCTGGATAATATTTCCCTTTGCAGCACCAGTAGTAACTTTCAATTCCAAACACCTTTTCATTAATCCACGTACCACTACATTCTTCATTCACTAAACCAAAACCCAAGTTCATATTTCTGATTAGCAGCACAATCACACGCCGTCATTACCATCATCATCATTAGATATGTTTCGTCAACTATTAACGTCATCTGGTTATAGCTATCGCATTGGCT